CCCCACCCCCATACAGTGATTAGAAGCATTGAACAGTGGCAATATGTTACACTCGCCCCCATTTTTTTTTTTTGGTGCTAATTCTTGTATGGTGTGGAGAAGATGCCATGCAAGATGCTGCTGCTTCAGGAGTTTGGCCTGCTGGTTTCCTAAAGCATAGGCTAGGCAAGCTCTTGAATTCCAAAATTTAGAATTGTGTTTTGGTCCTTCCATTTCATGCACATATATTATATTTCAGGTAATATCACAAGACAGACTGGGATCCCTGCTTGCATATCTGGTAGTCATAGCACTGGCACTTTGGCTCTCATGCAGTTCTCTGTCTTGATGTTAGGTAGTTCTGTGGATCAAGCCTTTTACAGGCATTATTCATGATGAAGCTCAGAAGTGTACATTTGGAATCCTGTTACAATGGTGGGAAATAATCTAAGCAGCCTTGAAACCTTGAAGAGTGTATGTAAATATTTGGGAGATTGCTCTTCTTAGTGCTTACAAACAAAGAATGACCTGGATATAAGTTTTCCTTGATTTATGTGTGCCATGACAACCTTGCCGAGTTAAAGACTTAGCAAACTAAAAGGCCTTTTCCTTAATTATGCTTCAGTTTGCAGTTAGGTGCTCATTACTATAAAAGATGTATCCAATAAATTACTGTCACTACTCAATTATGACTTTTGGCTACATCTACAGGCTTTTATACTGTGAATAATCAAGAAACTCAAATCTATTGAGCAAGTTCATAAAACTGGGGTTTCATAAAAGGACAGAACATTATAATTCTTTGAATTTATTGAAGTAACGACCAACCTCAGCTATTGGGAATCAGGGTTTTGGTATGTAAATTTGTGATTGCCTCAGAGAGCAAAATGTCTTAGATTAGCAGGCATAAGACAATATATAGCATAAGACAATATACAGTAAAGGTGGCAAAGGGTTACTAATCACCTTCAGATAATTCCCAGTGTGAATTAGTTATCATTTGGGTCCTTCACCCCAAATGTTTGCTGATCAGGGATGGATGTGAAACCACTAAAACAAAATCAGAATCATATATAAAGTTATTGCCTTTACTTCAGATACAAGATATGAACTTTACTTTACAAGGGAGATGGTTGTTGAGAAAGGAAGATTTCTCATACGAAAAGGGAGCCAGAAGAATCTCTGCAAAGACATTCAGAAAAGAAGAACTTTTCTGTTTGCTCAATAAATTATCACTGCAGGTAAGTAGCAAGACTTGCTTGTAAGGAACAAGAAGAAATGTCAGCTATAGGGATTTGCAAGGTGGCCCTACTTTAAATTACATTCCCTCTTGTAATGACAACTGGGGTCAAACCTTGGACACAAGATAGTTCATTATGACTAAGATAGGAACAAAAGTAATGTTTCACCACTTCTTCAAGCTTTCAGAGTAATGGGTGGACATTAGGAGATAGGACTGGTAGTAAACTGAGAAGAATGTGAGCAATACTAGAGTCTACAACTCCCATTACAAATCTACATTCCAACTCCGTATATAGTAATTTAAAACACTGAAGGAATGTGATTTTGCAGACCCATGTTGTAATCCTATGTCTTTTTTGTTGTGTGGACAGGATGACAGACAACACTGTC